ACACACACCGTTACTCCGTTTAGGAACCATCGCCCCGGTTTGCCGTCGGTCGTTTGTTACTGTAGCCCCTGTCCCTCACTGACACCCCCCTCCACACACAGTTTGCCGCCGGTTGTTTGTTACTGTACCCTAGTGGAAAATAGGACCCTCCCGTCCCGGCCCGCTGAGCGCTGCTCCCGGGGGAGTTGCGCTAATCTACGGGAGATCTGGTCCTGAACGCGGCGTTCGCTGGTTGCCGTCCACAACAGCATACTAGGGATAGCATAGTAAGGTTGGCGGCCGGAGCTTCTATTACGTGCGAACTACGTTTGATCAGAAAATGCTCCCCTCCCCAAAAAAAAGACCGATCCCAGAACGCCTGAAAAGAAGGCTAACCCATGCAGCCCAGAGTTCTCCATGTTTTGACATTGTTGATGAGAAACAGAAATGTCCCCTGCCGCCGCCCGTGCAGTGTGAGGCAGCCGTCTGGAGCCTGTACAAGGCTATCTAATGTTTAACAGCAGAGACGGTGAACAGCTAACCCCTTGCCACCGCCCACGCCGTCTGGAGCCTGCACGAGGCTACCCAGGCGGCCGTGTGAAGCCTGCACGAGGCTACCCAATGTTTAACAGTAGGACGATAACCAGCTATCCCCTCTGCCGTCTGGAGCCTGCACGAGGCTACCCAGGCGCCCGTGTGAAGCCTGCACGAGGCTACGTAAACGTCCCAAGTTTTACCGGTATTGACGGTTAACAGTTTTTCCCCAGGCAACCTGATGAAGCCTTTACGAGGCTACACAATGTTTAACAGTAGTGACGGTAACCACATATTCCCCTTGCCGCCGCTAGCGCCGTGTGGAGCCTGTACGAGGCTACCCAGTCGGCCGTATGAAGCCTGTACGAGGTTACCCAATGTTTTTGTTAGTTTAAAAGTGACGGTAACCAGTTATTCCCCTTGGCGCCGCCCGCTCCGTGCTTGGCATACAGATGGCTGGGATCAGGTGCATTACTCTTTAATAGACGTTTTTGCGTTAACCCCATTCAAATGATTAATTCCCGCCGTAATAGAATATATAATGAAGTCCCCTACTAAAATGGGTTTTGCTTGCATGGCCGGGAAGGCATGAGGTGTTGTATGACAAAGCAAATTTCCGCTTCCCGACTGCCTGCCTGGCGGTGCTCGCATTTCACAGCCGAGTGGCGGGGGGGGGGGTAGGTACCCCAAAAGGACCGGCAGTGGGAGCAAACTTACAGTCCCATTGCAGAACCACAGAAACTGTTGCTAATACAACAAACAGGCGGTTTAGCCGGGAAAGGCGCGAATTTTTACAGGGTTTAACGACTTTAAAAAACCTACATGTGGATTTGCCTCCACCTGCCCCGTGCCTAAGCTATTGTCTGGGAAAACTCGTCGGTAAGTCCGGACTTGGGACTACAGCATAACTACATCACTGAGATACGTATAACTACAGCACCGAGATACGTATAAGTACAGGAAAGTGTATATAACTACATCACTGAGATACGTATAACTACAATTTAGTGAGGTAAATATACTTTATAAGTACATTATAGTGAGATACGTATACGTACAGCAAAGTGAAATACGTATAATTTATAAGTACAGCACAGTCGATACGTATGATTTATAAGTACATGTGCAGCACAGAGAGATACACATAAGGTTTTACTTACAACTACAGCACAATAAAATACGTATAACTCCAGCAGAGTGTGCGGGATTTAAGGTTCTTGTTCTGTAGGTATGATGCGGCATATATTAGCAGAAAGAAGGGCAGTATGGAAGGATTCACAAACACTTAGCAGCAAAGCAGTGAAATATGGAATGATGAAAAGTTTATGTAATGGCGGTGCCTGTAAACGTGGAGCACAATTACGGGGTAATAAACGCTCTGCCGCAGTGAGTTTCTCCCATGGTGAGATTATGGAGACTGCTCGGAAATGTTGTGTAGAAGTGCCCGACATCGACCCGACAACGGCCCGACAGCGGCCCGACAAACGGCCGACATGCGGCTGTCTTCACCACTGATTAGTTTGTTAGCTGAAACTCGCACCTTTTCTGCCATCGGACAGTTGGACAACCCTGACGGGTATAGTCGGGTCGGAGTTGTGATAGTGTTGTGGTAGTATCGGCGTAGGGGTCCGGGTAAGGTTGTAGTTGTGATGGTATCGGCCTAGGGTTGGGTTGGAGTGGTGATGGTATCGGTGCGGGGGTTAGGGTAAGGTTGGAGTTGTGCCAAAGTTGTGATAGTATCGGCACGGGGTCGGGGTTAGGTTGGAGTTGTGATAGTATCGGTGCGGGGTCGGGGTAAAGTTGGAGTGGTGATAGTATCGGTTCGTGGTCGGGGTTAGGTTGGAGTTGTGATAGTATCGGTGCGGGGGTTAGGGTAAGGTTGTAGTTGTGCCATAGTTGTGATAGTATCGGCTCGGGGTCGGGGTTAGGTTGGAGTTGTGATACTATCGGCGCGGGGTCGGTTTTAGGTCCTGGCGTTCCGATTGTATCTGCTCTTCCTGACGCCGGGCTGGGGGCTCGGGACGGTGTAATCATATTTGTGGTTCCTCGATTCTCTGGTTCCCGCAACGCGTATAACGGGCGCCTCCTCACTACCCACTTTCCCTGGACAGGACCCCCACATACAGACCCTCAAATGCAGCTTTTTAAGAATATTATCGTCCTGTGTAATAACCTGAAATGTAGCTTTGTATCATGTTGCCATCCCGCGTAGCGTCCCTGAAATGTAGCGTTTTTATTATGTTGCCACGCAATTCAGCGATTGTATGAATGTTGCCATACATTCCGTGCTTGAAAGTGGCCATCCCGTATAGCGTCCCTGAAATGTAGCGGTTTTTAGAATGTTTTTACCCCTTACAGCGACCCTGAAATGTAGAGTTTTTATTCAGCGACCTTTTGAAGTAGCGATTGTATGAATGTTGCCATCCCGTGTTTGCATGTTGCCATCCCGTGTTTGAATGTTGCCATCCCGTGAATGTTGCCATCCCGCGTAGCGACCCTGAAATGTGGCGTTTTTGTGATGTTGCCATCCCGTGTTTGAATGTTGCCATCCCGTGAATGTTGCCGTCCCGTGTAGCGACCCTGAAATGTAGCGTTTTTGTGATGTTGCCATCCCGTGTTTGAATGTCGCCATCCCGTGTACACAAACCCACCTGTCCACGTGCCGCCTGCCCGGCCGCAATAATCACCACTTAGCGCCGCGGCCGCCCCGGGAATACCTTATTCATGACACGGCGAGGAATAAGCATAAAATATACTCACCATGCCTACAGTAACACCGGGCCGCGCGCGGAGTGTTGACGGGACCTGTCCGCTGGTCCTCCCGACAGCATCGTCCGGTCACCGCGGTACCATTTCCCTGCTGGGCCGACAGAACGGCGGGACCCGGAAGCGGCAATGACAGGTCTCCGCACCACAATAACAGGTTGGCCTATTGTGCTTCCCGCGCGCAGTGTAAGCGATATGGGGCCACATGCCCATATGTCACGGCACGGCCTCATCACGCATGCAAATATCATTCCGCGCGTGGCGAGCACAGCTCTTAGCGGCGCGCGCTCGCCAGATGTCACCGTAACGCTTCCGTAGCGCGGGGTAATAGTCTGGGTGCGGGGCGATATAACGTGCTGGTTATAACGTGTTGGTTATAACGTGTTGGTTTGGGGCATTATAACGTGTTGGTTATAACGTGCTGGTTATAACGTGTTGGTTATAACGTGTTGGTTATAACGTGTTGGTTATAACGTGTTGGTTATAACGTGTTGGTTATAACGTGCTGGTTATAACGTGTTGGTTATAACGTGTTGGTTATAACGTGTTGGTTATAACGTGTTGGTTATAACG